ATTTATTCTATTTGCTGATGATACTCATTTGTTTTATTCTCATCAAAATATATCTACTTTGACGATTGTGATAAATACTGTGAATTATGTAAGATTTCAGATTGGTTACAATCTAATAAGCTCTCTTTGAATATAAAGAAATCAAACTAAAAAAGTTTGTTTTCTTGGTGTTATTTTGGACGAGAATTTAACATGGAAAGCTCATGTATCTTATATTGAACGTAAAATTTCAAAATCAATTGGAATTATCTATAGGTCAAGTTTTTATTTATTCAAATCTGCCTTGCGGATTTTATATTTTGCATTAGTATATCCGTATCTTCAATATTGCGTTACGATTTGGTGTTCAACATATACAAGTAATCTTAATCGTATTGTACTGTTACAAAAACGTGCAGTACGAATTGTGGACAAACAATTTTTCGGTGCTCATACCTCTCCTATTTTTTACAAACACAAATACTGAAATTTGAAGATATCTATTTTACTTCAATAGACCTTTCCCCTTATAACCAAAATTTTGATCTAGGCAAGTCTAGACAAATATTTCATCACAGCTTGAAAGAGCATCACAAAATTAGTAATATTCCAAAGTTTCGTTGCGAAATGTTGTAAAATGCGGATAATATAGCCTTGCGAAGTTTGCAATTTTCAGTCATTTTAGATTACAAACGGGAAATTGCAGTCCCAACACCCGAATCGTATGTCAATTTCCCGTTTGTAACACAAAATGACTGAAAAACGGCAAACTTCCCAAGGCTATATTATCCGCATTTTACAAGATTTTGCAACAAAACTTTGGAATATTACTAATTTTGTGACGCTCTTTCAAGCTGTGATGAAATTTTTGTCTAGGTCGGAATTTTAGTTATAAGGGGAAAGGTCCATTGGAGGCAGTGCTTAAACGAGTAAATACGGTAGAAACTCGTAGAAATAGTACACGCGTAAAAAGTATGAGCCTGCTGTTTAACAGGATTGAACAATGTTGTGCAGCCCACATTGTTCACACTTGTCAACAATATAGTCATTATAGAACAATATTGTTGAGCCTGAATCGGGTGTAACAATATTGTTCAATATCGTTGACAACTGTGAACAATGTCGGCCGCACAACATTGTTCAATCCTGTTTTCATCAATATTGCAACATCGTTTTTAGTCGTGTAGATATTATTGTGGAGACAAAAAGATGCACCTTCATTGCTGGTCAGCGGCTATGTTCAAGTTATGGAATGCGCGCGCATTGGTAGCTTATTGCATTGTTGCTAAGCAACAATTTACACAAAAATACGACCAGACCACACAGTATTTTCATTCTATAACGTTCTGGAGTAAAATTGATCGTTTTCTTGTACGAAAAGCAGAATTAATATGAGCACAAGACAAGTTTTACAAGGTAAGATAAAGACTTGTACAATAAAACATAGCAGAGAGTCAGAATACGATATTAACTGGGTTTATTTCTCGATGTTTATAGTCTTTGAGCAGTATCAAAAATCAAGAACAACGTTTGTTCAGACTGTGGCCGAACTAGCTTCGCGTCCACAAAATATTGAGACACTTCAAAATGCAGGTAGGGTGGACAGTGAAAGCAGCATTTCTTTGTAAACATTGAAATACTGACCAACCTGATGTGTATAGATTTTGAATAGAACTACTCAGTTCTAATATACATATTGTGCCCAGTTTTTATTAAAACTCAAATGACATATTCTGCTGTATTGCTGTATATCCATAGGTTCTGCGGGAAATTCTGCTGCTATCCTTGGGTAAACACTGAATACATATGCCGTCAACATAGGATTCAAATGCAGAATATTAATATACACACATCAAATACACACCATACTTGCATAAAATTTATTTTTACTGTACTTCAGTTGGCTGATATTTGTTGGTCTGATTTTAGATTTTAGAACGTTACTAGTGATTTTTTTGGTTATAGTGATGCTGTTAGCAATAGCGTAGCTAGCCCAACGATTTAGTCCTGCTATGCAAATATTTTCATGTTCATTGACTGCGAAAACAATCAATTTCTAAAGAAATGAATAATGATTTTGAATTTGCATGGTGGGACTAAATTGTCGGGCTGGCTACGCCACTGGCTATTAGGTGACATAACCACACATTTTTCAAATTGAAATCAGCCCAACAAATCACACGGCAGTCTTTGCAAATTGCTGCCAATAATGGTACCAAAAATGAAATTTAATTTTATTGATGCCAACTTTTTGCTGAAGAGTATATTTGTGGGCACTAACTTTCTTAATTCGATTGTTTGCTACTATGTTCATGAACAGATGGGTATTTATTAAAAGAGGCAGTTATTATAATTTTGAGTTCCTCCATTTGAGTTCATTCATTACCCTACCGGCACACAGCATTGTGTAATATTGTAGTATGACCCAGTGACAAAACGTCTGTCAAAGCAAATAAAAGCATGTGTGGAGAAGAGAGTATATGTGGATATATGGATATATTTCTCCAGCAACATCCAACACTCTCCCCAGTGCAACCAATATCATTTGGTCGTAGACTGTTAGACACAGAGATGGATTTTCATATTTTCGTTCGGGGGGGGGTGGATAAATATCTGGGGGGTGCTGCTGCTTGCTTTGGCCGGGGCCTGGTGGCAACGCCCGGAAAGGCCAAGGAAAAAGTTCAACAAAATTTGTTTTCTAGTCCTGCATGGTGAAATCTGAGACCATAATATTGGTAATTTTACAAATTTAGTAGTAGGAATAATCAAATATGAAACTATCAAATCAAAATATATATAATTTGCAGGGTGCAAAAACTTTGGGGGGCGCTGCCAAATGCCTCTTGGGGGGGGGGGGTTGCAAATCATTTCTGGGGTGTGTGCACCCCCCGCACCCCCAGAAAATCTGTGCCTGGTTAGACAGTGAAAATAACAAAGCAGGAAGATTAGGATATAATATTACTTTTCTAAATATGTTTATTATCTAATAATGTTTAATATCTTAACCCACCTGTCAACTGTGGGAGGAAACTGAAGCCCGGAGAAATCCCTCAACTTCCAGCAGAGTGTTGACAGACTCTTGTCACATTGGTCTGTGCCAGTCTCAGAGGTGAAGGTGTGTGCCTGCTCTGATGATTGCACCACTGAAGCCTCATTTATAAGAGTTAATACTGAAGATTAGTTTTCCTCCACTGGACCCCTGTGTTTGAGATATCATTTGTCTTAGTAACAGTTTTTATTCAACACAGGTGTTATGTCATTGTTGCGTCCATTGCTGTTGGACATAGTTCCAACGATTCAACAAACAGCAGCTTTAGCTCTGGGTAGA